CATCAGACTTCCCATCGAGACACTGGAAGACTGTGACCCTTGAGACTCCTTAAAAATGGCGACCTCATTAGCAAGCCTGCAAAATATTCGTCACTACGCTTGAAATAGAAACAACCTAATGGTCTGCTTCTCTGTTTCCTTAACTCACAGAGGAGAGAAGATATGAAGCCAAGCAAAATGAGGATGTTGGTTCGTGTGAACACAGGACATGAGTGGTCTACTCCAGCTGTATTAATCTTTGTTGTTAGACCAAAACCAGTTGGCGAAACAAAACGAGAATTTATTGTGTAGAAATGGGATGCAAGCTTCGTGATGTGTCTTGCTAAAACAACATGTTAGTCTAACTAAATGGGAGTCTTGCTCCTCTGCCGTAATGAAAATGCCTGATAGAGTGTATCTAGGTGAACCGGTTGAACCAAATAGCTAAGCCCACCAGCTTGATTTTAATTTCGATGGAATTTCATGCAGTCAGTTAACCCTAAAAATTCTTTCATTGTAAATCTTCCGTCATCACGTTTCCATACTTTTAGCTAAGTTGATTTCCTTTTAGTAGCATGTACACATTCCTATTGTGTTCTCAAAAATTCAACAATCTTCTTTTCTCCGTTACTGCCTCCGTGTAGTGACCAACCTCTAATGATCTTATGTTCTACGATATATCAGACATATTCAACAGGATAAAACCAAGAATTCAATTGCCCACTACAGATGTCAGAGAAACTACAGCCAACTGAAGCCTAAAGCCATTTACTGACTACAGAATGAATTCTTGAGCGATTACGTAGGCTGAAGTCAGCTAGGTAGTGAGATGCATCATTTAGGGCGACCTGTTGACCTTCAAGTGTGCGCGTCATATTCCATTGGGGTTTTGGTTGACGGGTGTAAATATCTTTAAGTTTTGATATAATTGTATATCTTACTCTTATGTTGTACATACCGGCCCAGTGTAGAACACTGGGTTCGGTGAATATTCTGTATGTAATAACATGACATAATATATACATAGGTCTATATATAGGTGTTAGTTTCCCACCTTATAAGGTGATTACTATAGTAATCACATTATAATTGGTCTTTACTAATCTTTAATCTGAGATTTGTGAATTTCTGATTAATTATTGACCCATAGTTATGTCCTCTGGATTCAGAACCGAAACGTGGTTTAAATGGTTTCAGTAGATGTACTTCGACAATTCTCTCCTGGTAAGCATAGAGTATATGCGAAGTCACAATATGATTCAAACTGCTTATATTATTGTGATATTCAATTTTTATGGAGCATTTTGCCACTCAACAATGACAGGAACAGAATCTTTTTCGACTTATACGTTAACGTTAACTTATACGTTTTCCAGTGATATCGAAGATATTGGAAAGTATCATTGACGACCATATGAGAAAATACTTCGATGGGACTAACCTCCTTCACGAAGCACAGCACGGTTTCAGGAGGGGAAGATCCTGCGTGACGAATCTTCTACTAGCTTGGAACGATTGGACACTATCCTGGGACAAAAAGGTACCAGCCCACGTGATCTTTCTCGACTTTGCGAAAGCATTCGACACAGTTCACCATGGTCTGCTCCTTCACAAAATAAGCAAGGCGGGTGTTTCTGGAGCACTTCTCGCATGGCTGACAGATTACTTAGGCGAGAGAGAATTCTGCACCAAAGTCAACCGCATCCGATCATCCTGGCACACCTCGGCATCAGGGGTTCCTCAGGGTTCTATCCTAGGGCCGTTGATGTTTTTGATTTTTATCAACGACCTGCCCTCCCAACTAAACTGCTCTGCGCTTCTTTACGCTGACGACGTAAAGATTTGGAGAGCAATAAACTCATCGGAAGACTCAGACAGATTGCAGGCTGACCTGCAAACTCTGGGAAACTGGGCTCTGGCTAACGGAATGCCTTTCAACCTAAAGAAGTGCAAAGTAGTGCAACTTCATTCGGGCAGGTCACAGAGTGTAAATTACACCCTTGGTGGCCAGAACTTGAGTTGTGTTCCATCAGAGCGAGATCTAGGTCTTATTCTAACAGAAAAGCTAGACACCAGTGGAAATTACTCGAGGGACGTCGCCAAAGCCTACGCAACATTACACTTTATGCATAGGCAGCTGGGAGCTCTCACTCCCGAACTGTTCTTAAGGTTATATAAGGCATATGTGAGGCCACACCTTGAGGTGCATAATATCATTGCACCTCCGCTACTCAAAAGGGATGCTAACATTCTAGAAAGTGTCCAGAGACGAGCGACAAAATGGGTGATCGGCCTCCGCAACAAATCATATGAGGAAAGACTAAAGAAATTAGGTCTTTTCACACTTAGTTACCGTAGGCACAGGGGAGACCTCATCACCGTCTACCAAATCCTAAATGACCAGGCCCACCCAAATAAAAGCATCCTGCCATTAAGTGATTATAGGCTTCCACGAGGTAACCCGCTAAGGATAGCACACCAGAGACCAAAGACTCGAGTGCGATCACATTTCTTTTCGCTTCGTGTTTGCCGTCTCTGGAACGCTTTACCGGCGGCCGTGACTACAGCGCCATCTCTGGAGATTTTTAAGCGGAAGCTAGACAATCATGCAGAAATGCAAGGTTTGTGTCTCAATGGCTTATCCTCATAAAACTTGAAACCACACTGTCAATGATAAGCGTACAAACTAAATCCCCACGACCTATTCTGCCTTCTCTCACTCTATCTTTTCCTTAGGTCACCTTTATTATTTTATTCTTATTATTATTATTATTATTCTGCTTTTATGACTACACCGAATGACCAACGGGAGTTAGGTCAAACTCCATTCACGGCAGCAATACAGTCCTAACATACTGCATACTACAAACCACATCTCGACCAATCCCCGCACCACTCCTCCTGGAGTCTACCAGAGCTAAAGCAGTCGAGTGGCGGGACTTACTACGCAGAAGCTCACCGAAGATCTGGAACCTCTACCTCACAATCAAGAAGCGAGCTCAAAGAAATCACTGGTTTATACTAGCTCGTAATCAGGATATTGGATATTGAACGAAGTCAATACTCAATTAAGTATTGACTTGGTGAAAAAGTGTTAAACATCAGTGTATGCGTTAACGTACTATCTCGTATATTTGCTATTTGTCTGGAACTTACACATCATGACCACGTGTGCTGCTTCTGTGAAAGCGAGATCGACTTGCAATCAGGACACTATACAGACTAAACTGATAAACCGTGTCCGGATGAAATCTATGCCGTTTACGTAAATGCTTAAAAGCGTCCATTGTTTGATTTCTCCACCGAAACTGGATTTTTGCGTCCACCGTTTTGTGGTCTGTCATTTTGAGGTAATTGGTGCTGTTTATCTGCTTGGGTTTTTATAGTGTAGCCTAGTCCTGGTTTAGAAGCTGCACTATTTAGTAAGATTGGATGTCAATATTTTATTTATTTTATTTTTTTTTGATTACAGCTTGACTCCACACCGTATTTTTGGTACAAGTGTGGAATTTTCAGCGTGGATATCGGTAGCCCAAAATTCGCAGGCCGACCACAGATATCAGGTGTGCGTCGGCGTGGGCTCGAACCCCGGACCATGTGCATGGTCGGCGAGAGTCCTAACCACTGTGCCACCGACGAATGTTGAATGTCGAATATCTATATGTGGTTGCCTTGCGACACTTTAAAAGACCAAATCGTGTAGACCGAGTTTTTCTCATCTCTTCGTAGTTGAGTCACCCGAAAGTCACTAGTTTTTCAGTCACAATTGACGGCGAATTATGCCTTATCTCACTCATGGGTAGTTGATTTAGTTGAATAGAATTTCATACTTAATAACAAGTTTATTTGTTATGTATAAAATATAGCACCTTTTGAATGAGAAACTAGTGCACACAAGGTTTGGTGAATGCACTAATTACAATTTCCTGTATGTACATACACTTGTCAGTAAATGAATTCGTTGCGTACATGCAGTTGCTTTACTTATGTTGTAGCTACAGCGCGAGTGATTTTTACATATTTGTAAGACAAATTGATTAAATGTTCTTCAGATATTGCTTTTATTATTTAAAGCCTCGGTGTTCTTTGGTGAAATGTCACTCCTGTGTTTCATTATAAGACAAGCATCTTCATATTTTAAATTATATCAAGAATATTGGGCATAGTGAGCATCTGTAACTAAGGTTCTTGGTATTATTATTGTAGAGGTCGGCTCACTATAGTCTTCACAAAGATTATTTGCCATCTAGTGATATTTCCGGATAAAAAACAACCAAAACCTTTTGGATAAGTCAAATCAAATATCTGCAGGTATTTAGATTATATGCCCTAAAGTCTGAAAAAGAGTGAAGGTCTGTTGGGTCTATCGAAAACTGATTGATTCTCTTGAGTGAATATTTGAAAGTTTCAGTGATCTGATTTCTAGTTTCTACAAATTAGTACCCTAGCGTGTTTTGATTTATCATATTCTACCCCTGCATGCTGTCTGAGTAACCTTATTTCCCGTTGTCTACCACTGAGCTTTCAATTCGTCTTTTATATTTCTGATATAAATCGTTTCTTGGTGGCTCTTGCTCTTACACTCTCAGAATCAAATGATCTGTTTTATAGTTCTCTAACTTCATGTTTCAAGCCGCTTAACTGATTAGGAGCATCAATTCAGTTGGTCTGTTTAATTTACTTAATTGAGCTATTTATCTGTTGTTACGCTATTTCTTAGCACTAAAAAATCAACGCTTTTGTCGCATACATAAATATTTCTATCGACAAAGTATCATCTCATAATATTTTGAAGTATTCTGTCTATCATACTTCCAAAGTTATGCCGATAGGCTCTCTGTTTACCTGCATGATGATTATTGATTAAAACTGGAGCTTCCATAAATTACCGAGTTTTATTTATTTTTATATAAATGCTTAACCTTAATTTTTGTTTGAAAATGTCCCATTTTTAATGGGCAGGTTGAATATTTCAGTTTGGTCGTACTAGTTGCCTTCATAGTGGATTCATTTTTTTGGTAATGTCGAAAGGGATTGTATTGCATGGCCGACAAATTGCTCAAGGTATGACATTACTTTCTTATTAACATTTGGCAATTCCTTTAGCTATCGGCCAAAAAATCAGATCAGATGTTGCTCATTTAAAGGAGAATTTCGGTATCGCTCCCAAGTTAGTTGTCATTGAAGTAAGTGTTCCGTGTTTTCATTTTCATTATTGCATTGATCTGTTTTAACCGCATTAAACACTTTGTGAAATAGCAGGTAGTCCTAAAGGTTAACCATATACTGGGCTGTATTATTTTCCGTGAAATAAATATTAACCGCAAGTGCAATATCTGACTGTCAGTCAAAAGACGTGTATACTGCACGACAGTTTACTTCACCCTGTTTTTACAGTTGTGAGACATGACCGTTAAAAGTTAGAGTCATAAGGAGCCTTGCTGTCATTGAACAGGTGTTTACGTTCTATCTCATGTGTTAAGTGGTATTATATATGGTGAGTAATATTAGGGTTGGGCATAGAGTGTTAAATAAGGAGGGGAAGTCAATCGATGAGATTGTGAAGCCCCAACGAACAAGATAGCTACAACACATGTTATACATACCAAGCCTCTTCCTTGTCAAGCAGTGTTAGCCGACATAGAATCAGGTTGGAAAGGGGTTAGCGGTGGTCAGATAAAAAAACATGGACGTAATTCATGAAATTGTATCTTAATATTATCTCGTGGGATAAATGTTCATGAAATAAATGTTGTTTCTTTGACTTCAGGATTGTGTATGCATATTATCGGTTACTATCTTAAGTAACTTAAATTATGTTGTATAGGTGTTTAACTGCCAGCTGAGTGTATATTTTCACTGTGTTACGAAAAAGGGAGGACACTATCTACATTTTCTTGTGTCATAATTATGAATTTCATCAGTATTCTTTAACAAGATAGAATAATGTAAAATGTCTTACAATGGTGTCACTTTAACTGGATTGACAATACTGAAAGAAGTAAACAGAAATATATGGAGATAAATTAAAAAAAATGTATTGCTAGACTACTTAGCCAACGTGTTACTGAACATCTCCCATCGTGGTGGTTTTTCAAAGGACAGACAAAAACAATCCGTAGCCCCATTTAGTTGATAGTAGTCATGCAGTGGAGAAGACGAAGGCTTTCAAAGTAATTCATTACAACCGACCGAATTTTTCCGGTAAACTTCGTATTCGTCTACTGCACACAACTGAGGTAGTAGGCATTCGAACCAATAAAACTAAGCTATGCATGCAAAAGAAGTTCATACGGCCATTATTCCTCCGTTGACCTATAAAGACCTAACCAACTGACAACTTCTCCACCACCCATAACTTATATTTTCAACCCCTCTCTTATCATTCCTTAATTTTATCACATCTTCATTAAAACATAGATCATATACATCCCTTACAGTCTAGCATTACTTAGTCGGTCCATTTGTTTTTCTAAGCCTTTATCGACTACTACGTCTGCCTGAACATTTGTTCGTTTAATCATGCTGTTTTTTGTTATTCTCGTTATCACAGATCACTTGACTTTTCCACTCTTATTATTGAATAAAACCACTATTATTATTATTATCATTACCATTATTATGACTAATCGCAGAATTTATATTTAATTATTATCTTTTATTTTATTCCTTTACATTCCCAGGGGAACATAGGGCTTCAGGGTAGAGGTTTGAAGCTTCGGTAGCAGTGGTGTTTATTTTTATGGTATGGGTTTGCTAACCTCATGACCAATCTTCCCTCTTTACCAGTCTTATTACTAGCTTGGCGAGGTAAAGGAGTGTGTCGACCGGGAATCAAACCCCCGACTACATGAGGCGTATTTGGTGAGCATTCTACCTTTGTGCCACCGACTCACGCACAATTTATATGTACAATCTTATTATCCTATAGACAAAACACCATGATTGGTTTATATTCGGATTTTTGTTTGTAAGGTTATGTATATTAGAGTTAGGCCTGATGAGGTCTAACTAAAAACAATATTGTTCACTTAAATGCATTTAAAAAAATTTTACTATGGGAATATTCAATATTGTGAAACAGTAGTATATGAGGAAAGAGTACTGTTGGTGTTTTGAAGTTTGAACCTTAAGGCCAACCACAATTCTGTTCGATACTGTAGATATCCGCATTTTTACATACTTAAGTGGGGGCGGTTATTTGCTTTTTAAACTTCATCAAAACCTATTGGAAAGAGTGTTATTATTATAATCACCCCTTTACGCAATTTAATGCCTAGATTTTGTAGTAAATAAAACTTGCTGATTAATTATATCTGTGATACTCTGATGCTAATCCTAGAGCTAAATATCTCTTCGTTATCCAGTGGAGTTAATCATTAGTCGGCACTCATTTTTAAAGTTTATGCATTTCTGGCAACTCTTAATTCCTGTTTCATATTTTTCACGGTTTTCATTACTTCTATCTGTCTGTCTGTTTTCGACGTAGAACTTTGCACATATGTGCGGAAGTTCAAGTCGCCACACTCCATGTAGCACACAAAGCAAGAGAATAAATAATAGAAGAAATGCATAATAGAGACAGTAAACAGAGGTGTGAGACAAAGAATGGTAGTAACGAAGAACAAAACAGTTTCATTGGAAAATCAGAAGTCACAAGGAGTGGATGCATTTGCACTAGCCATTGAGAACGATTTTGAACCATGTCACCAATTGTTTCCAACCATTGGTTTTTACCGTCCCGAGGACCCCAACCAGGAAGTCTACACCTTCCTACGTGGCTTAGACTAACTGTTGTAGATTTAATTGACAGGTGCCTTGTTTTTATTTGACCTCCGCTAGCTCTTTTCCAGCCTGACCCTATATCAGCTAACATTGCCCGTCGAGGAAGGCGATGACCAGGCATACGTAACACATGTCCTAACCATCTCAGTCGATGTTACTTCACAACCTCGTCGATTGTTTTCCCCTCCTTACCTAGAACTCGACGCCTAACCTCCATGTTGCTCACCTTATTATGCCACTTCACACGGGAGATAGAACGCAGGCACCTATGATCAAAGACAGCTAATCTTTTCATGTCTTCCACTCTCAATGGCCAGGTCTCACAGCCATAAAGGAAGACGGAGGGGACTGATGAGCAGTACACCCGCCCTTTGGTCGATAGCCGGACATTACATCTACGTCAGAGACGGCGTGGTCGGACTTGAACACCGCAGTAACCCAACAAGCTATACTGGCTGAGACTTATATCATTACTTCTATTAATTCTGTAGCTACACAGAATACACTCATTCTAATTCTCGTAAGATATGCTAAGCATTTTTAAAATATTTTTGCTATGCTTTGAAATTGCTGTAGCAGTTGGGTTGATTTTCTGGAGTGGGAGGTCACTAACTCCCCATCCAACTTCCCCTCTTTTTCAGGGCTTAGGATGGATCAGTAAACTAGGCTGGGCGGACAATTTACTTTCTTTGGATTCTGAATACTGAGTGGCTAGGAGGGATAAACAACTGTGAACTATGAGATTGAACCAACGAAGAACGTACTGCCCAGCAACTGTGCCGAAAATATGGAGATGGATTGGACACGTGCTGAGAAAGCCGTTGAGTGACATCTTATACCAAGCCCTCAAATGGAACGCGAGTGGGGCGTCTGAGGGTGACGTGGGTGAGACGAGCACTTTTATGAGCAATCGTGAAGCTAGCTTAAGAGAACTGCAGGGAACAGGATTAAATGGAGATGTGCTTGTAAAGCCCTGCATTTCACTCGGAACCAAGGGAAATAATAGTAATAATAATAATAACAATGCTAAACATTTACATCATACCTTCCAACAGTAGTACTTTACAGTGCTGACTTATGCTTACTAGAATAAATAAAAAAAGTTAAGAAAATAATGGATAAAAATTTAAACGTAATTTTTATGGTTGATTGTTTCAAGATGACTGTCAAGTCATATTTAGAAAACCACTTGCATTAATAAAGCAGGGTTAACGTAGTGTGTCAAAATCCTTTGATAACCCAGGATAAACGCATTGCTCGGTAGCGAAAGGTTCAGCTGTTGTTTCTCGAAGGTGCGTTTTGTTGCATGAATCCACTCTGAACAGTGGTTGACTCAAGAGAAAGCAAATGTGACCATGAAATACTACTGCTTGAGTTGCAGTCACTTAGCCTACCTTTCTTCTACCAGTTTCATTAAAAGCCTAAAGTAATTTCACCGTAGTATACTTATGGACTACAAGTTTAATCTTACGAAATTGATGGCACACTTAGCTAATCAATTTTTCCAATATTTAAGTTACTTCATTTAAATGCTGTTACTGAGAAATGAGACTTTAGCTGAATTTCAAATAGAACTAATGATCATTCATGGGTAGTGTTTATACGTTGACACACTAATGCAGAATATCAAATATTGACACTTACATATTCATCGCATCATTATTTATTTTAGACTATAGAAGTCGAATAGCATGCAGATACATTATCTTTTGATTGGCAATGTAAATATGTCCAAAGCACCTGTCTAGTGGTCTCTGATTCTAATTCGTTAGCATCGTAAGTCAGTCAATATTGCTCTTGGAATTAGGTTATAAGCTGCTATTGAAGAGGTTTTCATTCAGATGAAATACCAATTTTTATTAATTTGAGCAGGTATTAATTCTTCTTGTTGCTACAAAATAACAAGTGCATAATTAAATTACCTTGACAAGATAAGTTCTTTGTAAGATAGCTAATATAATGGTTTTTCTAAGCTTCTGAGATCTCTAATTAATGTGAAAATATTTTAGCTGAGAAAGAACAAACAGTGGTGCAGAATAACATGGATCCAACTTACTTTGTTGGTTCTCATCAGCTTAATACAGCCTATAATCTGTAATAAATAAAAGTCAGCGTGGAATTCAACATACTTTTATCATTGACAAGTATATTATAAGAGTGGCATTTGTTTTATTCCTTTACATTCCCAGGGGAACATAGGGCTTCAGGGTAGAGGTTTGAAGATTCGGTAGCAGTGATGTTTATTTTTACGGGATGGGGTTGCTAGCCTTATGACCAACCTCTCCCGTTTGCCAGTCTTATTACTGGCTTAGCGAGGTAAAGGATCGAACGACCTAGGTGGTTGGCGAGCATTCTACCGCTGTGCCACCGAGTGTGAAGGTGAGGTAAAACGTCAGGATGACAAGGTAGCTGAAGTGTTAGTATATATATATATATATATATGTATTGTTAGATAAAAGTTTCTGGAAAATTAATGCACAATTTTAGGGTGTAATCATCAGACATGTAACACAAGTGATCGGCAACTGTATGTCTAGTTACTTTTGTTTTCACCTTTATCATCTAATTTAAACTTACTATATATGTTATAATAATTCTCAAGTCATGTTAAGAACTAAATGACTTGAGACTATTGTATGATATTGTATGACTTAAAATCGTTCTCGATAGCTAAGATGTATGCATTCTTTGTAATCTCAAAGACGTGCATCGGTGGCACAGCGGTGGAATACTTGCCAACCACGTATGTGGTCCGGGGTTGGATCCCCGGCCGACACACTCCTTTACCTTGCTAAGCCAGTAATAAGGCAGGTAAAGAGGAAAGTTTGGGCATGAAGCTAGCATCCCAATCCCGTTAACAAATAAACACCTTGTGCTACAGAAACTTCAAGGCTCTACCTTGAAGCCGTATGTTCCACACTGGGATCGTAAAGGAATATTAAAAAAATCTCAAGGATGCATTAAGCCCCCCTTGGTTTTTTTTCTATTTCATGTTACTATTCCTTCTCTGCGTACATTTCTGCTGGTTACGGTTTTTCCGATTTTATTTCGTTTCTTTACCTTTGGGTAGCACATCGCAACCTCAACTGTTGCACTTCTATGCCGAAGTTCTGTGTTGAAACTGAGACAATTAATTTGACCAGTAGCTCTGAAAGCACCTATTTATCTTAAGCTGTTAACATTGATAGTTGACTCATTTTTTTTTACTGAATATTGGAATTCAAAATTTTTTTCATTCACCTGTTTCTTTTTTCTTTAAAAAAACATACATTTAGATTGGTGATTTACCACAGTCAAAATTGTACATTGAACAAAAGTATAAATTCGCTAGCAAATATGATATAATTCTATCTCATATGCAATTTCCATCACATATATCTGAGTCAAAGGTAAAATTGACACACACATAAACACAAAAAGTGAATGATTTGTCCTCAAGGTTTTAGATTATATCAACAAGCTGAATACTGATTCATCTGTTCATGGTATTACTTTACAAGTGAGTTCAATGTTTATTGTAATATTCATTTTCTTAGTTTTATATTTTCTGGTGGCATGTTTAATATTTTGGATTGGTTGAATACAGATATTTTGAACACGTGTTTATATGTGTATGTATATATATATCTGTCTCCGGTTAGACTAACGTTGAAATATATACACTGTGGAAAGTTGAAGTTAGAATTCACCAGTAACCAAAATGATTGTCCTTGTTCTATGTAAGTGTATTTAGTCATGAGGTTGACTATTCACTCTGACCGACTACTAACTGAGTTTAACCGAAAGTCCACCAATTCAAGTTGTCACACTTCATGTAGTGCAAAAAGAAGAAAGCAAAAGGAGAGAAATTCGAAAAAAAAACTATAATGATCAGAAATGTAGACTGACAAATAATAGTAACATCATGTAGAAACCTAAAGACTCTATAGATCTGGGTGAATACAAAAAGTGAACGCATTTGTAGGTGCCATTGTCAATGATTCTGAACTATATCACTAATACTCTCCAGCTGTTTGGTTCTTAGAATCTTGAGGACTCCAAACAAGCGGTCTACATCCTCCCTCCCCCCTGTGTGGCTCAAATCAACTGTCAGACACTTCATTGACTGAGGCTAGATATGGCTTTTACTAGCTCCAGCTGTTTTTCAATCCGAACCTATGTCCACTAACACTGTCGAGTAAGGCGGTGGCTTGGCATGCACAATATGTGTTCCAGCCATCTAATTCGGTATAGCTTCACTTCATCGATTGACTGACCATTTTTACCTAGCAGTCTACGCCTAACCTCATTGTTGTACATCATGTTATAATTTTTATCAGGAGAGAGAACACAAATATCTATGGTCAAAAGCAGCTAGTCTTTTCATATCTTCCAGTGTCAGTGGCCATGTCTCACAGCCTTAAAGGCGCGGACAGAGCGATCAATAACTGGATACGAGGTGTACGCTGGAGATAACGTCAGTTGGCTATATGCCACATGGGCCTTTTTTATTAGTGCTGAGATTTCGTCAGCAATCTGTCCTATCGTTAAGTTTAGTTGTGCTGCACATCACCTTACGTTTGTCAGGAGCGCATTACTGTCTGCATTAACTGAGGTACTAGGCAGCGTCTGGGAATCAGAAGAAGTCCCATCGGGTTGGTGTAAATCACTGATTATCCCCATATACAAGAAGGGAGACAAGTCTTCCTGTGATAATCACAGAGGGATTAGCTCGACTAATATAGTATCTAAAGTCCTAGGTTCAATAATCATGCTTAGACTAAGTGGTGCTCGGGAGGCACAAACACGAGAGAGCCAGGCAGACTTTAGACCAGGAAGAGGGTGTATTGATCATATCTTCACCCTCCGACAGATTCTAGAACATAGGAATTCCTACCGGCGTCCAACAGTCATTATATTTCTTGACCTAAAGACAGCATTCGACTCTGTCGATCGAGAAGTTCTCTGGAGATGCTTGGCTGTAAAGGCAATGCCGAGAAAATATATTGCACTGATTAAGGCACTCTACTCATACTCATACAGCCAGGTGAGGGCTTACGGCGAGCTGTCATCTGAACTGGTGACGACTAGTGGTGTCCGTCAAGGATGCCCATTATCCCCTTTTCTATTCAACTTCATCATAGATGTGTTAATGGACTTAACCCTAAGTGACTTCAGCGACTCAGGGATTGACTTGCTACCAGGGAATAATCTCGTTGACTTGGAATATGCAGACGATATAGTCCTTCTAGGCGAAGACGCTGACGAAATGCAGAGTCTTCTAAACACCTTGAGCGGCAATCTACGAATGTTTGGCATGCGATTCGCTCCCGCCAAATGCAAGATGATGGTACAGGACTGGACTACATCGACACCTAGTTTAAAAATAGGAAGTGAAGTGGTAGAGCACGTTGACCGCTTCACTTATTTGGGAAGTACCATCAGCCAGTGACAACGGGTTGATCTCTGACGAAATCTCAGCACGAATACAAGGGGCTCGTTTCGCATTTTCCAGTTTACGCCGACTCTGGCGTAGACGAGATGTTCGACTATCGACCAAAGGGCGGGTGTACTGCTCATCAGTCCGCTCCGTCTTCCTTTATGGCTGTGAGACCTGGCCATTGAGAGTGGAAGACATGAAAAGATTAGCTGTCTTTGATCATAGGTGCCTGCGTTCTATCTCCCGTGTGAAGTGGCATAATAAGGTGAGCAATATTGAGGTTAGGCGTCGAGTTGTAGGTAAGGAGGGGAAAACAATCGACGAGGTTGTGAAGTAACATCGACTGAGATGGTTAGGACATGTGTTACGTATGCCTGGTCATCGCCTTCCTCGACGGGCAATGTTAGCTGATATAGGGTCAGGCTGGAAAAGAGCTAGCGGAGGTCAAATAAAAACAAGGCACCAGTCAATGAAATCCACAACAGTTGGTCTAAGCCACGTAGGAAGGTGTAGACTTCCTGGTTGGGGTCCTCGGGACGGTGAAAACCAATGGTTGGAAACAATTGGTGACATGGTTCAAAATCGTTCTCAATGGCTGGTGCAAATGTATCCACTCCTTGTGACTTCTGATTTTCCAATGAAACTGTTTTGTTCTTCGTTATTACTCCTTTGTCTCACCCCTCTGCTCACTGTCTCTTTTATGCTTTTCTTGTACTTTCTTCTCTTGCTTCGCTTGCTACATGGAGGGTGTGTGGCGACTTGAACTTCCGCACATATGTGCATAGTTCTATGTTGAAAACAGACAGACAGACAGGAGCGCATTGCATGTTAAGCATTCGAAGATTTCTGCATAACGTGTTCAGAAGACTCTGCATTTCGTTAGCGTCTCTTCATTTAGGAGGACAAAAAGATATCATCCGCATATTTTTAATCGATTGAGAGATTCCCTCGTAGCTATTCATTCAACTGTTTATGTGCCTGAAGGGGATTAAAAGTTTTCCACAGAAAATAATACACAAGTATGATCTTTAACTACTCATGTGTCCTAGTAAGTAGTACATTACCATTACGCAAAAGATTATAGATTAGCGATAGCGGATTTAATCTTCAGTGATGCATGGATAACGATTAAAAACTACTTGAAGTTCGGTTTAGATTATTAATAAAAATTCTGGCGGCACAGTTACAGGCTAGCGTGAAACTTGCTTTCTTCAAAAGGTACGATAGCATGAAAATTAGACACAAAAATGCTTCCTCTTAAACCTTTGTGCAAATATTAACTGGCGTTTAAAAGTATTGTTGAAACCAATTAGTTCGCTAGTCTCTTATTGCGTGTTATTGTTTCCCTTGCTTGTACACTGGAATTTAATGTCGTTTTCAGTTACATTAAGGTTCTTGGTTGGGCATGAGAGTAGCCACCGATCCCGTAAAAATAAACACCACTGCTACTAAAACTTCAAGCCTCTCAGTAACATTGATCATAAATAAAATTATCTTAATTCGCCTTAGTTGAGTCCACTCTGACTAGTGTTTAACATATTTTATGACGTATTGCACTATCTTGCTAGTCTGCAACTTAAAGAAGTAAAGCATGTCCAGTTGTAAACACGTTTTAATTATTTCCCTCGTTTAGGCACATCAGGAAATAGCGATATCCACCGCCTATCTTAGACAACATGAAAACAAACCATTAGTGATATGAATTACACTTTCAGATCTTATATTCTATTCCACAAGTTTAAAAGGCTTCTCTAAACTACCTGGTAAGACCGAGGGTGGGTCGGTCTTCCTCACGAAATGCTCTCATATGGTCACGTGTTCATAACCTCTGTGAGGTAATTCCTGTTCAGTGTTCCTCAAAAAAGTGAAAAGGCAAATTCAAACGTTTGGTGCCTACAACCGGCCTAGTGGACATCCAGGTCCACTTGAAGGAGCTACTAACCTTGATTCCGAAATTCTAGTGTACAAGGCCTCCAGAATCCGAACGGATTGAATAGCGTATGAACCTGTTTTGGTCACCCTCAACAATAGGAACTCGGTTACTGACGCCTCTCTACTGCCTCATGGACCAGACTTCAAGTCAAGGGTTTGGGGTGTGGCTCCTTAAGACAACTATCTGCTTCAGTAAGGGCGACTGGGTAGTATCCCAGCAGTTGCACAAACTGTGAGATTTTATGTAGCGCATCTTTTGTTGCCCATAATATACCACATTTTTAGTTTATTAATAATAAAGTATAGCGAACTTGAAGGTATTTTAGTTGGTCACAACTATTCTTATTATTATTGTAAAGTTTTATTAAAGTTTTGATTTTATTTTCGTCTGCAATTATAGTTACCTTTTGATTCATTTATGAATATCAATGTTTCCAATTCGCTGAATGCAGTTGTTACTCACAAAGATGTTGAAGGGTATGTTCAATATGTTGTCTATATTTGTCTGTATGCTTTCATTGATAACTAGTCTTTTATTCTCATCTGAATAAATATACTGTCACTTCAATTGTTTAGTGTTTGAAGTGGGTATACTGTCTAGGCTTTATCATATTATATAAGTTTATTCAACAGTATACATAGTGATTGTGTGCATACACATTTCTCTACTGTAATTTAAATTATGATTGGTTGCGGCAAAAGTGGAAAATCTCACACCAAGCCTAAAACCTGATCAGTCTGCGCTGATGTCCACTTCTCAGTTGGTCTTGTCCATCGTCTCTTGTACAGGGGGGGGGGAACTATGTTTATGCTTTAGTCTACTTAGCAGTCATCCTCAAATATCTGGCGACTGAAGCGCTCAAATTAGTCGGTGATATTTCTGACTGATCGACTAGTTTCAACATAGAACTTAACACCGATGTGCAGCAGTTCGAGTCGCCACACTTCCTCCAAGTAGCACACAAAGCAAGAGAGGAAAGTAAAAAGAAATGCAAAATAGAAACAGTAGACAGGGATATGAGACAAAGGAATAGTAATATCGAAGAACAATATAGTTTCATTGGATATCGTAAGTCACAAGGAGTGGATGCATCTGCACCAGCCATTGAGAACGATGAGTTTGAGCCATATCACTAGTTGTCTCCAACCATTGGTTTTCACCGTCCCGAGGACCCCAACCAGTGAGGAAGTCTACACCTTCCTACATGGCTGGCTGGCTGGCTTAAACTAACTGTTGTGGATTTCATTGACTGACTGATGAAGCCATGTTTTGGTTTGACCACCACTGGCTCTTTTCCAACCTTACCTTATGCCAGCTAACATCGCCTGTCTAGGAAGGCGATGGCTAGTCAGGCATGAGTAAAACATATCCCAACCATCTCAGTCGATGTAGCTTCACAACCTCGTCGGTTGGTTTCTCCTCCTTACCTAGCACTCGATGCCTAACCTCAATATTGCTCCCCCTATTTCACCAACTAACATGGGAGATAGAACGCAGGCACCTATGATCAAAGACAGATAGTCTTTTCATATCCTTTAATCTTAATGGTCAAGTCTCACAGCCATAAAAGAGTACAGAGCGGACTGATGAGCAGTACACCCGCCATTCGGCCGATAGCCAGATATCACATATACGCCAGTGACGGCGTAAACTGGCAAATGCGAAACTAGCCCTCTGCGTCCGTGCTGAGATTTCGTCAGAGATCAACCCGTTGGCATTGGCTGATGCAACTTCCCAAATAAGTGAAGCGGCCAACTTGCTATACCACTTCACTTCCTATTTCTAAGCTAGGGGTTTCTCGTGACAACAAGAAGATCCGTATTATCCGTCATCACTTGCAGTTGGCCATCTGCAACGCTGAGGAGTTTGAACAAACTATTCAGTAGTCTGACCATCACTCAAGGCATATATATATATATATATTGATTTTTTTCAATTTGACTAATCATCAAATCCTTCTGTTATAAGTTTGTTTTTGGTGTCTAGTTCGATTCGAAGGATATTACTTCTTTTATCTGATGTGTTTTTGAGTAATTTCAAGGTAATCCGTTGTAGTTTTAGTCACTAAATAAGTTAGTAATGCGACTTATGCATTGAATTGAGTAGCTTTTCATCAAATGCTTTAAGTTGTTTCTCATCAATCCTTGCGCTCCACTTACCTTGTGTAAACTGTTTGGCATGTGCATGTTACGAAGGTGACTGAGTCTTAGAACGATGGGTGATGCTTGAATCTTGAAAAGACGAATGAACCAAGAATTTAGGTTTTATTCATTTTACAATGAAGCCGGAATGGCTTAAACGTATAAAGGGAAAAAGAGTGTTAATAGCGGTAGAGATATGAATATGATTAGATACGTATTATAAGAAAAGTTCACAACAGTGTGATCTCTGAAAGACTAACTTGAATTACTCGTATATTTTAGGACATTTGACTGAATTAGGATTTCTTATTTTCGCACCCTTTTTTTGTCATCCAGTGCTTCGCTTGACGCCAATGTCATACTGATTTCCCTGATGTTGTAGATGCTCTGTTTACTATAAGAAGAGTCTTGTTGTTCATAAGTATTTCGGTCCTACATTAAATTTTTGTATCTCAAGGCATAGCAGGTTAGTTGGCAGGGGACTATAAATTCCCCAAGTAACAAATGAAACTTATTGGGTTACCTGTCTTATTTAGTATTTCTGCAGTTGTATTATCCAATGCATCATCCTCTTTAGTTTTCCATCAACATCTTGGTTCTAAATTGACTTTTAATATTTAGTTTGGATGTTAAGAAGAATATATTTTTTTCTGCGTCGGTGGCACAGTGGTTAGGACTCTCGCCGACCATGCACATGGTCTGAGGTTTGATCCCCCACCGACGCACACCTGATATCTATGGTTGGCCTGCAAAATTTGGGCTACCGATATCCATGCTGAAAATTCCATACTGGTACCAAAAATACAGTGTGGAATCAAGCTGTAATCAAAAATAAATAAAAAAATAAATAAAATAAATTACTTGTGTTCATCTTCAGTAACCAGTTATCTAAGTTTGAAGGTATCCAAGGGAAATTACTGAATCGTTTGGAACAAGAACCAACGTTAATACTAAAATAATATTTCTACCCGACATTAACAACTTAGTAGAGCTTCAATGTGATCTACCTCTTATGTCCAAGATTCCAGTTACTTATGTTATACTAAAAGAGACACAAAGAAGACTCTCCCATCACCGTATTGACATTGTATCGACGATTAACATTCAACATAAATTGCATGAATCAAGATAATGCATTATTTTTCACCAGACGATGGATACATTTTTATTCATATATCGGGAATAATTGAACATCTGGTTGATATTCTGATTGTCTTAACCTCCGTTGTGTAGCTACTGATAGTGTAATCCAGAGGATAGAAGAAAGCAGATTTTCTTCTTCCTTAGAAATGTCTTTCGCTAACCAACCACAATTTATATCATTATTTATTACTTTATTCCGTTGCGTTCCCACTGTGGAACATAGAGCTTCAAACCTGAACTTTGAAGTTTCAGTAACAATAATGTGTTTTTTTCGCTACGGGATAGGGTTACTAGCCTCATGCGAAACCTTCCCTTTTAACTGTGGTTACTAAGCGGGATTGAGGATTGCGTTGGCTGGGTATCGAACTCTAGACCATTTACTTGGTTGGCCAGTGTCCTATCATTGAACCCACCGATGTACTCAAGTTTAATATCGAGTTCTTACTTATTGTTGTCACAGCTGTTCATCTTTATTGAGTAAGTGAAGCTGTTCCACAAACCTTTGAAAACACTTAAATCAGTTGTTTGATGAACTGCAATTATTGCTGTAGGCAAAGTTAAACCTAGCATAGCCGAAATCACAGTGACTGAACAACCAATCGAAATTCAGATTCAAAAGAGTCTCATAATCGTTGGAAAATACACATGAAAAAAATTGCAAACTTGATATTTCATTGTATAGTTGTAGCTTATGTGTTGTAAGAATGTCTCCCAGTCAATACACAGATGGTCTATAGAGAAATCGTACCATGTGCAATATACTCATTCATCCAGGTGACTGTAGGTCATGTAACTTTGAGTTCCATTGACATTTTTGACACTTTTCTTCAAGTTACTCCGAACTCTAACTATAAGCCTAGCTTCTGATCCTAAATTTAACCGAAATCCTAACCTTAACCCTAGACCTCAAACTTTAATCTTAAAAGCCATAACAGCATAGATTTGCATAAAAAGTACCAAGTAGATAAGTAGAATACTGTGCCTATCCTCTCCAAGTCCAAAAATGCAGGCATGACTTGATTTGGAATGATATTTCGTAGCATTTTCTGTGTGTAGTCGGTTCTTGACGGTCAACTTTTGAAAGACCTTGACTTTGGCTATGATACTTTAACTCTCTCTCCCCCCCCCCCTGGTGTGTACATGGTCATCGATGATATTTTACAGTTTTTAACAATTTTATGTCAACAAAAGTCTAAGTTTTTGGTTAGTTGTCCATTTAGATCAGACAAAGAAGTAGTAGGAAGTAAAAATTACTGGGGGTTATTGTTTTCTAAGTTTCTAGATAATTGAAAACATTTCTTTCCCATAGTAGATTTTCAACAGGCAACAATTGTGAAAAACAGCAGTATATATATATATATATATATATGAACCCGAAAGGGAAGCGGCGAGTTGGTCGTCGGTGCAAGGGTGACTTCGAGGAGGTCATGTGAGGAGGAGATGAAAGCATGTGGGCGGACTTGGAGCGGAGTGAAAAAGTTGGCAGAAAACAGAAGGCAGTGGAGACGCGCAGCTGAAGCCCTATGTTCCCCTAGGAATTAAAGGACATAGTAATAATATAATGAATTCGTAAATTTCGCTAGGCGGACGCGTCAGCTGAGCACTCCTCCACAAACATTCTTATTCTTTCAGTGTTTTATGATTAAATACAAATAAACACACATGAACATTGTTTAATTCAATTTTAGATTTTCCCGTCTGTTGTTTGGACCGAAGTGCTTGGTCTTAGGTTGACATATCGGCTCCTTGTGGAGATGCTTCGATGATGTCTTGTCATGTAACTTGAAGTCACTTGGTGGGCGGTGACTGTCAGTGGAATCCAGGATGCACATTTCGACTGAGCCCTTCGGTCTGATCAATCGATGGGAAAGTTGATAATTGAATTAAATAATTAATTAAACTAGTTGCACAAGCGGTGGTGGCTCTCGTGGATAAAGCTTTGGCGTTTGAAACTATGGACACTGGGTTCGAGCTTCCGTGGGAACATTGTAACAACAGAAGATAAGGGCCAGGCAACAGATCGTTTATTAAGGAAATCAACACATATTTATAGATTTCCATGTACATTATTATAGATTATTGTTAGCAGAGAAACACAGTCTTCTAGTTGGTTGTTTCTCACAGAAAGTTAACCTTGCATCTCTTTGTGGCTGTTTCTTGAATGTCAGATCATCTATATGTTAACTGTATCC